ATTCAGTAAGGATGTATTTACAAAGACATTTTGTTACAAAAATTTTTTTATCTGAAATAAATGCTGTTCTTTTGAACTTTCTATTCATTAAAGAATCCTGAAATGCTTCACGGTTTCCACAAAAATATTGGGCAGCACGACTGTTTTCAACATTGACAATAATCAGAAATGTTTGTTGAGCAGCAAATCAGCATATTAGAATGATTTCTGAAGATCATGTGACACTGAAGACTAGAGTAATGATGCTGAAAATTCAACTTTGATCACAGAAATAAATTCTATTTTAACATATATTCACATAGTAAACAGCTATTTTAAATTGAAACAATATTTCACAATTTGACTGTATTTTTAAACAAATAAATGCAGCTTTGGTGTGTAGAAGAGATTTCTTTCAAAGACATTAAAAAAATCTTCCCAACACTTTTAAAAATAAAGGTTCCACAAGAGCTTTTCATAGTGATGCCATAAAAGTTCTTAAAGGAACAATTAGTTTTTTTCTTAGTGTTAAGAACATTTTAATAATCTGAAGAACCTTTTTCCACTATAAAGAACCTTTTGTGCAATGGAAAGGTTAGGCTTAAAGTTTCTTCATGGAAGCTAATAAAGCTTCATTTTTTACATGTGGAACTTTTGAACAATATTGTACATCTTTAAGCTTTAAAGAACACAGAAACCAATAAACTGATCTTAAAAACCCATTTGAAGTATATAGCAACTCAAGAACCCTACAGAGCAAAAATACTCTTTGCTAAATCTAACACTGGTTAGCAGGTCATCAGAAGGTTCTCCAGCTGTGTGGAGCCTGAGGAGCGATCTTCCCCCAGTGTGAGTGAGATGACTGTCAGACTAAACTCTCAGACTGCCAATACAAAAGACCAATAAACATTCAGGCTCCTCCCACCGGCTTCACCCTGCATGCCAGATTCCTCCGCCTGCTTATAAAAGCCCATTTTAGAGAAACCACAAGTGGTTTAATATCCACTTTTCCCCATAGAAATCAGGCCTTAGTGTGAGATTTTGAGAGTTTACATGTGTGTGCACATTTGTGTGCAACCTTTAGATACAAGAACAGAAACCTGCTGAAAGACCCCACACAGTCAGAGACCACTGACGTGATTAATGGTGTTTGCTAAGGGTCTGAGATTTGAACAAGCTCCAAACAAACATTTCACGTGCTTGCATAGAATATGTTTCAAGCCTTAAAGGATAATTTTGCCAATATTCAGACAGCTTTGTATTGTCACAATATCAGTAGTATATTATTTAAATGAACAATGTGTACTCTTTCTCCATGTTACCTGCACCTAGATATCACCATTTATTTGTTAGGAAGAATCTACCAGAAGATGCACAACACACACACACACACTATAGATCAGGGGTGGCGAACTCCGGTCCTGGAGAGCCGCAGTCCTGCAGAGTTCAGCTCTAACCCTAATAAAAACTCACCTGCCTGAAGCTTCCTAGTAACCCTTCAGGCCTTGATTAGCTTGTTCAGGTGTGTTTGATTAGGGTTGAAGCAAAACTCTGCAGGGCTGC